GTCACATTACCGCTAACTGATGTTCATGCATACGGCTTGTGACAGATTTTCCAGTTTTGCCACAATAGACGGCATCAGAACTAGAACATGGGATTTTGTAGACAACACCGTTCTTTTCGAGGTGGCCGACCCTGTCCTTAGGGTGTACAAGCTGTGTGCGTAAGGTAGTTGCCGGCTGGTATGCTACGTGTATCTGGTACTTTTTTAATTGTCTTTCGACTTGTTCAGATACATTTTCACGTATGGGAGAGTTCGCCAGGTGGTTGTTTTGGTGCCCGAGCGGCCGTGGCACTGGAAATACCTTTTTCCTTGAATTGCTGGTGCCTCATGCATCGACGTTTAAAGTCATGCGGGTATCCATTTTGGGAGAACAGTTTATAGAGGTATTTCATTTCTGCTCGATAACTTGTTTCATCAGAGCAGTGAGTTTTGACTCGATTCCGAAGCCTGTAGACTGTACTCCGTTTGCGAGAGACAGGGCGGTTACTCTTAACATGAAGAATGACCTCTGAATACGCCTCTTTGCGATAAGCTGATGTATGAGGTGATCCATCGGTTTTTCGACGTACAAGGACGTCCAGGAATGAGAGCTGTCCATCCACCTCTGTTTAGAAAGTAAACGTGATTTCTGGAAATATAGAGTTTATGTTGGTATGGAGAAGATTCAACAGATCTTTCTTGACGATGACAAGTGTCATCTACATATCGCAGCCAAAGTTTTGGGTTAACTGTGGGGAGAGCTATGCATTCTAATTTCTGCAGTACGGCCTCTGCCAGGAAACCGGATATGGGAGAAAGGGGTGAACAGTTATTTGCTATTCCTTGATGTACTCGTTCGTGGCGAGGGTTGTGACACTCTAGAAGCCAGGATGAACTGATAGACTGTTTACGAAGTTGAGAGAACATCAAGCGCATGAATGTTCGGGAAATGCAGGACGTTTAGTATGAAAAACGACATGGCCATGCATCGTATTTTCCGAAGAATAACACTCAAGCAATTCCAGTAGCCCGAATGTCACTTTCGAGTCTCCAGAAGTAACCAGTTTGGTTTTTTTTACTGAAATGGTAGCAGAGATGACAGTTTAATTACGCAACCTCTGACTTGGGGCCCGAGCAGCTTTTACGGATTCTTATGAGATGGCTGTCTGCGGTTTAACATTATACAGGCGAGATCGCAAAGCTAATTACCAGGAAGTAACCTCCAAAGCTATTTCCTACACAGATGCGTATTAGTTTTCCGTTGGAAAAATTTGTACCCGCACGTATGGGTCACTACAGCGAATAACTCGCCACTTAGACAGCTTGAATGCTCTTTTATTGATTTTTGTTCTCTATGCCTTTTGTCTCATATATGCTGGAGCGAATGCATGTGAATCGCATCTCTTCTTTTAATTTTGTAGAAAATTACTTGTTTCTCAAAGTTAACAGCCAGTGCAAATGTTTTCGTATTAATTTGAATCTGCATAGCGAGGTACTTGGACTGCTAGAATGCTTAGTCATGTAGCACTCCAATTCGTTGGCTTTAATCTTGCTACATGCTTGTGTTGATTTTATTCAAAAAAAGATTCGACGTGCAGTTTGAAGACTTAATGAGCACATGAAATTTCAGGTTGCATTTCATAGTATAGAGATATTAGTAAACGTTCCTAAACATGAAAAGCATGTGCCCTCTAATCAAAATCGATCAAATTGTCCTAACCCCTTCATGAAATAGGACAAGAGGAGTGCAGGTATGAGAGAGCAGTGGCAGAAGCCGCAGTAATTAAGTAGCATGCGCTCAACGGCAACGCTTTTTGGAAGGGACTGAAACATTCACAGCATCCTAACATGCAGTAATCGACTTGGGACTGTGTCCCCTACTAACCAGTCTTGATATTTCTTCTCTACCAACGGAAAAGCATCGATCGACGCACATAAAGGGCCACGGTGTATTTGTTAAGGCTCATTAAGTTGAATGTCCGACACTGGAAGCCGGATCAATCCAGCGTTGGATAAAAACTCGTTGAATTGGTTTACGGCGACTTCTTCTCCCGTCTTATCAGCTGAGGACCGTAATGGCCTGAGTGAGTGACGTTTACATGGGCACGATTTGATTATAGGAAGTGGACTCGTGTGGTATCAACAGTCAGTGGCCGAACTAATGAAATACTAGCCGATATTCTGAAATGTGTCATCGGTTGGAAAGGACTGCTCGATTGGAACTGTAGTACTGACTATCTTGCGACGTTATTCAGTAGCACTTTAGACACTCCTGGGAGTTGATTTTAGGATGTACTTCCTTCCGGTCACGCGCCAAACTGCATTCAGTAAAAAATGACCTCATAAGTAGTATGAATTTTCTCTATTGGTCCTGAATAGCCCTATAAATGCAAAAATATCTTGCGGAAAACCACCAACGAAATATTATTTTTTGTATTCACATGGCAGCAAATAATGTCTCTCGTCCAAATGCATTTTAGGAGAAAGAATATCTTTTGTTTTGAGGAGTCTTTCAATTCCCGAGTACTTTTGGACTGAAGCTGCCTTTGAATTTTCATTTAGGGTTTTCAGTCGTTAAGGCGTATACTTTCCATGCGAAGAAACACATGTACCCATTTCCACCATTGAAAAAATACCGTATGGATTTCACAAATACTGTAACGAAGGTTGACTATATAACATACTTAAGGAGGAGCACTATTAAACGGGTAGATACAACGTACGAACATTGCACGGTGTTAATAAATCTTACAAAAACTCTTTTTTTTCGAGTGTAAAGTTCGAAGAAGACGTGATGTGTACAAAAGTAATGTCCTCGTGCATGTTTTTTTGCAAACCATTTTTAAATTTATAGAGATAAAGAAAATTGGTCGAAAATATACATACTACTTAAGATGTCACTTTTACTGAATGCGGTTTTTGTGGGGGACCGAACAGGAATGCATTCAAATACCAACTCCCCGTTGTCTGAAATTTTACGGGGTTACGTGGCAAGATAATCAATATAACAACCCCATTTAGGTAATCCTTCCTAATCGAAAACACGTTTCACAGTTTTGGTTAACATTTCATGAGGTCTGTCGCTCCCTCGATCTTACTACAGATATCGCATTCAGGGGGTAAAGCATGATCCTGACTGTTGGTGATAGCTGTGGACACAGGAATTGAAGTAGCGTAGAACCCACAACGTTGCTATTCGGAATGAGGGTCCACTGACAGAGGAGTCATTTAAAATCGATCACCACCCCAGGGGACCGAAGTGTTGTATCACTCGGCAGTCTTTTAAACCGCAACTTCTAGCCCTTACTGGAAGCCTAAATGTCGACTACCATCCAACCCGAGATAGTCCTGTACCTCTAATTAAATCTTTGTCACCTTATTCAACATCACGCTCTCAATGGGCAGACGTCCTTCTTATCTCGGTAAAACGATGCCCACCTCCCTGCGATAGCGCGATATATCACAGCTTCCATGTTGCACACAAATTAGCTTGTTGGGGGCTACACAGCAACGTTGCCGTTGAGGCCCCAATTCCTGTCATCTGGGCTGCGAAGCAATCTGTTATCTCTTTCGTAGATCTCTAAGGGCTAATTTCACAAAAACCGGATGGCATGAGGTCCCCCATTACGCCCTAGAGATGTGGCCAGTCTTCTTCATAAAAGAATTCACCATCTTCAAGAATTCCGCGGCGCTCCCTGAAGTCATAAAAATCCTTCGCTCACTATGGCCATATTTGCATGTGAAGGAAGATAGTTTATGCAGATGCCTGCCTCGATACCGCCCACTGCAATCCGTAAAAGATTTCACTTAAACTCCCAGCCGCAACGTCGGAGCTCAGTAGTCTGCTCCATTCTCAGTAAAACCTGTGTGCAAATCCCGAGCAGAGCGGGGTATAATTACTCGTATAAGAAAGGACAAAGACCTGTCTGCCGTTTTGCCTAGTACCCTCTCACATATGAGGGCATTTTGACTGGTTCGTGTGAAGGTGGGTTCACTGTAGCCGAACTGCTTGGCTGGATACGAGTGAGATTCCTGTGTTTTAAACTACTGCATCAATCTGGTTTGTTCACATGTCTCACTACGCAGACAGCAACACGCCATGGAGGGGCCTGAAGCTTCAGCATCGGATCATATGATTAGCCCGTCGGACTCCAAATCGGTTGACCGAGTTTTCGAGTGGTGAGACAACCACGCGCACTGGTGATAGTTCATAATGCTGAAAAGGATCATTAAATTGACCGCGAAGTGGTTCGAAGAATAAGGGCTCCTAAGTTGCGCACAAATAGGCTTGACTCAGATCGCGGGAGCAACACTGACGTCAGAGTTCCAATTCAAGTGGACCTCACAGACTCACTCTCGCGCACTCTCTCTCTCTCTCTCTTGCATCAGACATCGTTCCCAAGCGACAAAGCAGATTCAAGACGACTGGCGGTAGACGTGGACAAAGGGTCCGGGCTGGCATAGATTCCGCGTCGCTGATATCTGGAATAAGGGTCTCCTTCATAGCAGTCATTGCAATGCGATGCGAACTCCACAGGACCCAGATGTTGTGTCACTTGGCAGTCTTACAAACCGCAACTCCTAGCCCTTGCTGGGATGTCAGATGTCGACTACCGTCCAAGCCCTGGCGGTTCCGCACTTCTTATCAAAGCGCTGCCGCCTTATTCAACTTCGTGTCTTCAGTGGACTGACTGCTTTGGCAGGCGTTTCTCCAATAGACCTTATGAAGCTCTTATTGTCTCACTAAATCGATTTTAATTTGCCTGTGATACCGCGACATATTACAGCTTCCATGTTGTGCACAAGTCGGCTTGTTGGGACTACACGGCAGCACTGACAGTGAGACCCCAATTCCCGTCAGCATACGGTGGTGCCAGTGACCTATCAGGAAATCGTCGACTCCAACCCTGACCACGAAATTAAAATCTACCATTGCCTTAAATTTGATATTTGATGAAGACGCACGCCTTTATCAAATGAGTGCACGGAATTACTTTTTAATATAAGAGTACTAAAAATGCATGCTCGCCAAATTGTGTTCTGAACTCTTAGGTAATTGTTTTTTTAATAACTCCACTGGTTCCAGCAGTCCGTCAGGGCAAATCTCCTTTCTTCTGGCGTCAATTAGACTTCGTCCAACCAATTAGCTCTTAGGAAAATAAGTGACTGTATTTCTCACAAGCAAACGATTGGGGGGGGGGGAGAAGTATTGATTGAATCCCGCTCGCCAGATATAGGAAATGTCAGGGCGATTCTTGATTCGCCCTACTTAATCATGTTGGTGACGACGTGATGCTGTCGAGGGCCTTCGCAGGGCTTGCAACATCCTGAACTTGATCGACGCCGAAACAGCTGAAGAAACCGCGAACGGAGTGTCATTGAAGAAAAAGATGCTCACTCTAGACGTCGCGTTGGATAAATTAGAGAAGCATTTTGACAGACAAACAGCTTCCGGCAGCGATCTGATATCTGGCCACAGGAGCTCGGCGACTTGACTTGACTCCATCAGAACATGTGACATTTCTTGGGTAATTGCGGCTATACGGATAAATGCATTCAGAGATGCATGAAAGACTGACTGACAAAATTAGGGCGATTACGGTCATAGAAGAGATCGACCACAAATTTCGGTTTTAGATATCCTCCGCATCTTAACTCTTGACCAGTCGTTTGTAATTCGCAACGCCACTTCTCTTGTCCGCTGCAAAATCTAGTTTTTTCCATTCATTAATCCACATCTACTCCAAGAATGCAGGGACAACCTGCTTCCTCAGCGCCGTATACGTAAACAGCACGTTTCGTCGTGCGTAGAAAAGTCATTTACTTAAATATCGAATATTACCCACCTTTTCAACTTAGGCAAGGTACCGCATGAAGCGTACGGCCTGTCTGTCATCGGGCCTTATGCGGTGGCGCAAGTAATTGTGATCAGTAATCACGCCGATCCATGCCGGTTGGCGTCTTATTGTCACGGGGATCACACATAACATTCACCGGACCGAACACCGTACGCGAAATATGGGCCTAGACAAGGGGAGTTCGCAGAACTTGGAGTCCATCTTTCTGTGTACAACTGCGTACAAGCGAAGAACGGCCACTACAGTCCCAGTCTACAGATCAGGGACGGAGTACGTATACTACCAATCAGATGGCCAGTTCAGACAGTTGGCAATCAGTAGCAAACTGCGTTGCATGAAAGCGATGGACACATGGGCCTGTGATACGCGTTAGTTCGATGCGGAGGCCATAATTGCGCGTAGAGCGCAAAAGACGGAGACTTTATGATAGGTTAACCACTGTGTGGCACCTAATTCTCAGGGACTTCGGCTTGGGCTTGCAACTGGTGTATGCTAGTAAGGGAAAAAGAGGAGGAGGTCGATACTCATTACAAAAAATCTGGCATAATACATACAAGGTCGTCGTCATCCAGAGTGAAGGTCGGGCTGCATCCATGGTAAAATTCCTCGACGAGTGACCAGGGCTATCCAAGTCCTACTCACTCGTGCAGGAGCCAGCATGTGCGCGGTACGCGTAGAGTTCGGCCTAATTTCGGCAACCGTCGTGTCCAAGCAACACCTTCAGTCGTCTTGACTTTGTTTTGCCATTCAAACATGAGGGATTTTGAGATGAGGAGATGCTGCCTAAGGTCTCCTCACTAATAAACAAACTCCCGTGCAGGTTACTGCTGCCTCCCTTCACATCTGACGGACAAAAACCGTGCAAGGTGAAGATGCTAGAGCAAAACATTCGACAAACAGTAACCGATTTGAAGCAGTCAACATAATTATCAAGCATTTATTATAAAAATCCTATATAAAGAACAAGAATCCAGTTGGATGAGCTTTGGGAATTGACCCTGTTTTCCGAAATTTTGTGCTTTCGATACAAATGCGCGGTCGATTTCAGAGAAAATGATAGCAGTGGGAAAAACCGGATACGGGTGTACAAGCGGCTGATGGCACAAGGAAAGTGGGAACCATATGAAAAAAAAAACGGGAGAAGCAGAATTGATGCACATAAGAAGTCTTTCTAAATCAACAGACCGGTAGGAAAATGCAAAATACAAAATTAGCAATCATTTTGTGACGCGGAATGCAGACAAAAATTTGGAGGAGTAGAGATACGGAAGTGGAATCAGACCTTAACACCGCACATGACTTGTTCCCGACGTTCATAGTAAACGCGGGTTAGAGTCTCCAGCGGTTCGTCACAGTCAAAAACCTGTGAGAAAAAAACAGTATAGGGAACAAGAATATAGGGTTAGTGTCGCAAGCCTGAAGACCGATTAAACTAGATTCTTAAGAGGCTGCGTTACGCGCTCCCATCATTTTGGCTAGAATGACAAGCGTTATAGTTCAAAACCGGTCGAGACTCATTAGTTGAGCGTTTGAATTAGAAACATCCGATAAGCGAGTAATCGGAGTTAAAATCCCAGGTTATGGAAACCTGGGATGGGTTACGGCTGACGACGACTCATAAGCCTAAAAATGTCCAATCTGGTCTTCCCTTTCTTCCTTTCTCACAGGCAATTATTACTAAGCACAACTATGGCCCCCGTTATCAATAATCGAAAAGTATTGCTGAGGAGTATTTTTGGGGTTTGGCTGTAGTCGTCTTCAGGTCATAACATAACTTCGAATCGAAAAGACTTGTGATGTGAACACAGCCCTATAGTTAACGCTGAAACCAGGCTAACGCCACTTCCGCTACGGGAAGGCGGTTACAATTCCGGGTCGCTTGTGTCACTGTCGTTAGTTCTGCAAATTTCTCGTACACTTCAAGTTATTTCAGGGTCCCTTGCTTTTGGCAGGATTCTGACAAGCAGCGACAAACATGAGAGCGGTGAAAATTCCGCAAATTACCAGGACAGCACGCAGATGAAGATGAAGAGGCGATCATTGGAACAGGAAGTTTACTGGTCTGATGGTTCGGACGCTCACTCGAACCCATTATCAGAGACAGTCGCAAAACACCCCTGTCTGCGACGATATCTGGTAATGAATTAGAGCGAGAATACGAAACGTCAGGCCAATAAACTTCTTGTTTCAGCGACTGCTTCTTCTTCTTCTTCTTCTTCTACTGAGCTGTTTTCTGGAACTCGCCTGTCCGCATGCGGATGAAGTCAGCCTTCCTGAGATGAGGTGTGCTGCGCCCAAGATGTGCGCCTTCCGTTTGAGGAAACAATTCGTAAGGAAGCATTCATGACTAGATTGAGGTTTGTAAAGCTGATTTTCAACTGACTACCCAATTTTAAACAGACTGATGTTTGCTGAACTCATCCAAGAAATCTGAGGTAACCACATCTTTGAAATATATAATTATGGCCACGGGGGAGGTGGTCTGTTGCACAACTAAGCAAAACAACTATAAACAGCCGGAGTTGTGCACAAACTAACCAGAACTGGAGCTGGACAGTTGTCGTTTATGCCGCCAAGCAGCCACTTCTCATGAAAATTGTGCAATTGCTGAATATATTCCTATAAATGGAAGAATTATTTAATGGTATTCCACAATGTTCTTCTTCAGATAGGAAGTTTAGGCTCGTGAAAGGAATTTTCTAGAGGGAACAACTGACCATTGAGATAGCCTGTTCTCCACGACGATCCCGCTTTCGGATGCGTTCGGCGCAGACTTCGGGAGAGCAACGAAGGTATACTACGAAGGAAGGGCGAGTGCGTGAAGATTAAATAAAAGAGAATACAAAGTCAAATATGAGAACATTAAGTTCCACCACAGGTATCCGGTATAAGTAAACCGTCTTCGTGAACAAGATGGAAGGTTTGACAACAAAGTATTAGTACCGGGCTTCTTTAAAGAGCAGCAGGATGGTTACTTCCCTAAGTATGGATGAACCGATCAATGGAGCTTTTACTACAGACTTTCGTTGCAAGATTAATATCACAAGACGTTTGGACCCCATACAATTTAGATCAAGAAGAAACCCCCATGCAGGCGAATTTTAGAGTAGGTAGGACAATACTCAGCCTCCGGCGCAGCTGTTAAATTCCTCAGTTTCCTTTTCCTCCTTCAAGTAAAGTCAGGCGGCTCTGCTACCTTCTACTACTACTACTACTACTACTACTACTACTACTACTACTACTACTACTACTACTACTACTACTACTACTACTACTACTACTACTACTACTACTACTACTACTACTACTACTACTACTACTACTACTACTACTACTACTACTACTACTACTACTACTACCTCTACAACAACTACTACTACTACTTCTACCACTACCACCACTACTACAACTACGCACAAGGACCAAATGTGTTCGAACAAGGCAAACTGATGTCCGCACAGAAGACGACCAAAGCCAGCGTGGACCACAAAGCCGAAGTCAAGTAGCAGGCGCAGAGAGAGGAGGACTGGTAGGCACGCGAGCTCGCCAACTGTCGGTTAACACTAAAAATTAATAACAAAGTTTGTGCCGGCTATGTGGCAGACCACAAGGAAGAGTCGCTCCGCTCTTTTGACGATGAAAATGAGGGAGTTCCTTAAACGTCAGTTTCTCCTCTTCACTAAGGCATAATGAGCATCTGAATGTTCAACTTTCTCAGTTCTACAGAAATCGGTGCGCGAACTTGGGGTGAAATCCCAGAGACAGGCTCTCTCTGGGGAGGCCCGAAGGTTTGCGTGAATATTTGACCAAGTACACATCAGCACTAGCGGAATCACTGCACGATACTCATATTCTGTCTGCAGACAGTCGGTAATATACAAATACTTATAGATTCACCAACATGGAAACGTGCTGCGCTGCTGCATGCATGCTGTTCAATGCTGACGAGCGCTCATTGTGCCAATGAAAGTGAGTTGGCCATTCTTTGGGTACTTGAATATCCGACTGCCATTGCCAAATTGAACTCCATTTAGTTTCCGCCTATTTCAGCCTGTTCAAACAAGCTTTCTCTTCTGACCTCGACAAGTCACTTGGAATTCAGCAACGAGGAGGATTTAGTGTATAGATCATCTGCTATTGCACAGCGACTTACCGATGAGATCCAATTTAGACGTGGGGAGGTCCCTGCCCCATCTGTAAAACTCATCGACGACTGCCAGATCGCCGTCGGACATTTGCTTACTAAAGTTAACCATAAACATAAGCTAAGGGTTAGAAAATGGCAAGATAAGCCAAAGACTTATGTAAACCCATCGCCAGGACACTAAAGCTACCTGCAGACAGGTTTTGGAGTACCCAGTCAACCACTCAGTCGGCAGAATTCCACCAACAAATGCGAAAGACACCGCAAACGTACCAAGCGCTACGGCTGCGCAAAAACCTGAATCCACCCTACTTAATCCCGAGTGGCTTTCCCGTTTACTTACGTGATCTATGGTTTGTATGTCTTGTTAAATCATCCGCAAAAACATTACCAGCGTTAAAATCGTTGGTGGAAACTTTCTTAAAGTTTTTTGCGGTCCACAAAGAGTCCAGACCGGTGCGTGACATAAAAGTGGGACAACCTCACTTCCCTTGTTGCGACGATGATTTCGTCCAGCTGAAGGGCGGCAGGACCTATCAAGTGGTGCGCTGTGCATACCATCGGTAACGAAAATTATTCAACATGAGGATATGTCGTATTGAGCGAGAATCCGTTAACCTGCTGAATTATGTGCTCGCCTGCACAGCATTTGTGTGACAAACGTTTTGTTGTCAAATGTGCTTAGGAATTGAAAGAATTCTTGATGACTACACACATGCCGAACTCAAATATTTTTACATGCAATTTAGTTGGGGATCATTTTGAAAAGGACTCATAAGGGTGGTTACATTTGAGGACGATGTCTTATTGTTACTTGGTGTTGCGACGTGGTCTCAGAAAGTCGATTGGACAACATCAACTACTTGAATAGTCTACTTTCTCAAGCAGTATTTTGTGGTTTGCTCCAAATGTTTTGGATAAGCTCGGCCATTAAGAAAAAATTGTCATGAAATCGTCATAGTAGCTGGGAAAACAAGTTTCTCAGTTACTGTTATCCGTTCCATAAACCCTCTTCTAAAAACATACAACAAGTCAAAGAAGTAAACATTTTTTATTTTGTCCATGATTTTATAGTTCAGACATATTGAAATGGTGGAATTTAGTGTAATAGAACACCTAAAGTAAGCCATATGACACTTAACTTTACTAACCGTGGACTAATCAAACGCATCGAACACTACCGTACTATATACCTCTTTAAGTTGGCGAAATAGACGGTTACCAGGAAAGAATGTGTGAATTAGGGTGATAAAGCCTATATTTCTATGCTTTCACAGCAGGATTTATGCTCAAGAAAATGGTAATGCAAGGGGTCATTACCCTGCCAGCACCAGCCCCGCCTAGCCCCGCCTGGCCCCCTCAATAATGGCGGGGCTAGAGGGGGCTATGAGGGGGCTAGGCGGGGCTGTGGAGGGGGCTGTGGCGGGGCATGCAACGCGATAGCCCCGCCTAGCCCCGCCAGCGAAAAAAAATGCGCAGGGGACGCCACATCCCAGCCCACTTTTGGCACCACTTTAAAATATCGTCCCCATTGTCAAATATACGAATTAATAACACACACAGATTGTAAACCGGTGGACAAATAAGAGTTTAAGCAATGAGGGACTTAAACAAAACCTCAATATATTGTGCTCATCCGCAGCTACATTCAGTGGGCGTAAACGGATGCTTTCTCCATGGTTTATAAGCCAATTTTGATAAATTAGCTCGTTTAAATTCCAAAGAAGGTACAATAAGTGGTGCTTTTGGAACATATCTTTCGATGCAAATACGCTTCAAAAGGCTTCAATCCAGAGGGGGCTCTAGCCCCGCCCAGCCCCCTCCAGCCCCGCCTATGAAGGAGCCATGTGCTGGCAGGCGGGGCTCTGGCCCCACCCAGCCCCTTCCAGCCCCGCCTATGAAGGGGCAATGTGCTGGCAGGGCATTTAGGCTGCAGGGAAATTGAAAGAAAATCCTCGTGCGCTTGAAGGTTAATCATGGGTAAAGTAGATAAAAGAATCAAACAAGTCAAAGGAGGAACAAGTTGACGTTCAAACCAGTGGTTACTCACTTTTGAATCATCGCTTCAATGAAACAGTGCCGGCTACTATGGATCGTTCGTTCAATAAGTCGAACAGGGGCAACCTAGAAAAGACAAAAACACATCGCCATAAGTCCACATATTTCAAGGATCCCCTAAATAAACAGGAAGTACTGATAAGAAATCAGACTTTGGATCAACAATATTTCGAAAGCAAATCGACATGATCTTAAAATAAAGTCTCATGCGTTCCGGACGAATTCAGCAAAATAAACTGAAATTTAGCCTGAAAATAGTAACTTAATTTAATGTGGCAGGTGATCAATGAAGTTTCTTGCCTGTGGTATAGCCTGCCGGTCCAGAAGAGTAACTATGACTTGACCTTGGAAGGGCGAGGTCCATTTTGAAGGATCGCTATAAAATATCTCCTAAATAAGTGTTTTTGCGTATTTTTAGCATCTCACGAAAAGTCTGTGCCCACGAACGTTATTCCACAGCTCGATTGGCTCGAGAGATATTTCGGTATTTGGTGAAATGCCCTCGAAAAACTTGAGGAAGGTAGACTTTCCACACCCAATATTACCCTCCACTGCAACTTTGAAAAAGCTAGACAATAAACGAAAACAACAGTCCTCACTTGCTCGATTTCATCTTGTAAGCGAACGGTGAAGAAAGAATCCCGACATTTATATACCGCCAGAATGCAAAATCTCAAGGTCACCGGCTAGAGACCTTAGCAAATTACACCTCGATTTTGACCCCGGCGGGGGGTCTAACGTCCTTTACTTGTTCGAACAATTTTCTATTTCAATCATAATCGAAAATGCTGTCAGAGATTTACATATTTCCTTTCTTTGACGCGAACATAGAAAGGAACTGGCTTAGGTGCAACTGTTATAGTTGACTACGAACGAGTCCAGATTTGTGAAGGTTTATCGACGCTACCAAGATAACAAAATCCGATGCCCTCCCCATTTGTATTTGAGACGCGCCATTCTTGAATATTATGAAAGCGAAGCTTGACGGATTTGTCTCAAAATTTACAAAAAATACGGAAGCTTGATTTGTTTCGCTGCGAGTGGTAGTCGGATAAAAACGGCCCAATGTTTTCTTTACAAAACTAGCGGTTTCTCCTTACAGCGCTACATTCGTTCCTTTAGGACAAGATGCAGAATGGTCATACCCGCTCTTTTTGTCATAAAAAATTCACACCGACAGGCGTCAGAGCAATTTTATGTCTTTCTTGGAGTATCTGCGCGAATATTTCGACCAATATTTCTGATAAATATCTGAAAGAGTTGAACCTGGAAAGTAGTTAAACGCAAGGTTAAATGCGAGGGATTTCACGACCACACAGGCTTGATACGAGCTCATAAAATTATCGAACCCTTTTATTCACCGCAACTTGACGCAAAGTGCAGAATTCTTAAGAGATACGTATAAGGAAAGAAATCGTTTTTACGGAAGATGAAATAACATGGACCACTTACAGAACACAGCCAGAAATGTGCGGAAAATGTAGAGCTTTACGTGTTTTGAAATAGTTGAATTTTTAAAAACACGATTGTTAACCGTGTCAATGGTGCATTTAAAGGAATTTTACTCAAGAACACGTGAGAACTTCTTCCTTAACGAGGAGTCCCAGTACATACAGTACATACACACCGTTCCTTATTTCAAAATCTGTTTGCTTCTAAATGTGCTATGACTGCGGCGAAGTCAGTGGAGGTATCGCATACCTCATAGATGGGACTTGAGACAAAATTCTGTATTTTACTCTAGTTAAGTATAAAAGTCATGTGACTACTGTTCAATTCAGCCACTAGTATGAGCCTATTCTCTTCGGAGATAAGCGCGGTTCGACAGGGGACCCAAATCATTTTTTTATGCTCGAGGAAAAATAGTCTTGAAGAAAATGCTTCTGATGCCCGTTCACATAATGCGAAATATAAAATGGCAGTGGAAAGCATCATTCGGGAACGACAGTTCCATTGGGACACCATACGTAGGGAGCATGCGTAGAACGTCATTTAATAACGATCATGTTGTCGAATAAGGCTCTTTTTCCGCTAAGCAACATATGTGAATTTAAATATACAAGCAAATGAAACCTGCCTGTGTGAAAGTCCTTGCAAAAGTCATAAAAGAAGATGTTGACACTGTTGTCTTTGCAAACCTCACTCTAACTTTGTGACTCTAAGTGCGGATGCGTTTGAGACATTGCCTCTTGTATGTGGAAAAACGATAAAAGCGTTAGAAGTTTATGCTCTCCAAGTGAAAATACACACGTTCACATATAAGGGTGCGCAAAGTTTTCAGACTAAACCATTTGGGGTTGACAA